ACCATGGGGATCACTCATATTCACCTGCTTGCATCTAAGCTCTAAACCCCAAGCCCTTATAAATCCAATATGGAGCCGTTCTAAAACCCTATAGCCCCATAGAAGCCCTGAAAACCATCACAAACATTTTACGTGGTTGTGTTTTTTTGGGCTTTGTGTTTGCGGGGCTCCAGGGTGCTCGGAAGCTGGAAGGGGCTCAGGGCATGCCAGATGCCATGGGCATTGGGTTTAGGGTTTAGCGCTAATGATTTAGGGATTTAGGCTTAGAGTTTACGGTTTCGGGTTTGGGATGTAGGGCTTATGATGGTTTGGGGTCTAGGGTTTGCACGAGTTTTTGAACACCGCTGCTACCCCTGCGATGATTTTGATGACGACACCACCACCAGCAGCACCACCACCACCCACCACGTCGATCATTATCGATAATGTCAGGGCTTTCAACAGACTAGTAAGACTAGTGCCGCAGACACTCCGTCTGAGGTCGCCACTTGAATGGTTCGACAAAGCCCACGATCCTCACTTTGAAAGCCTCTGGCAACGCGCTGTAGATGAGGTTTAGGGTTAGGGGTTGTCGGGACGTGCTCAGTCAGGGGATATAGCAATCTTGAGTTTCTGTCATGCCTCTACCAACCCTTTCAAACCCTGGCTCCGACTCTGCTCACCCTGCAACTGGCCGATGCTGAAACATCCGCGTGTGCCAAAAGATCTGAAGCTACGGGTACCGTGAGGGTTTAGAGCAGGCAGGGCCTTGGTCGCATTCGTGTAGAGGTTCGCATAGCAGCCATCGTCAAGAAGCAACAGCTCGTCGTACCTGGAACGAACTCAGGACCCCAACGCCTAGACCCTGAACCCTGCGGGCTTGGGTTTAGGGACTTCAAACGAACAGCAGAGACTTCAAGGCCAAGGTAAAAGCCGCAGCACGTTTGGGTGTAGGGCTAGCCCGGCCACTCACTTAAACTACCCGGGTTGAATCGTCCAAGCTTGTGCACGGCAAATGCGGTAGAAATGCCTTCTCTCCAGGTGCCTCCTCAAGTCGCTTACTATACCGATCTCCTCGATGTCAACTTGAAGTGGCTCTTCCCAAAAAATGGCAGGATGCTGAGCATCGCAGGATGCGACTAAGTAGCGAAACCAACGCAACTGTTCGGGCTTCTGCAATACGTCAGCTTGCTGACGGAAGGGGTTTCGGAGGCCTCCAGCCTCCGGACATGAAATCGCCATCACGGAACTCTGCCAGACTCCTGTGAGTCGTTTTCGTGGCAGCGATGAGACCTGCCACACCTGGCTACGCTTGAATCGCATGAGTGCCAACCTATGCGGGCACGGGTCGAAGCAGTTCGAGTCCAGGAAAAGCCTAACGTCAATGTCCAGCCTGGCCAAGGAGAGCTTCGGGCATTCTTGCAGGGTCTAGGGTTCAGGGATGTTCAGGGTTTAGGGATGAGGGTTTAAGGTTTACGTCTAATTATGTCAGGCTTTCGACTTTCACCACGGAAGAGACGGCAGCAGCCGCATTGGTGCGGAATCACAGCATTTCTTTCAAGTCGCAGACCCTGTGGATACAGGTCTCGTCTTCACCGAGGGCTGCAAAGCAACACGGTCGTGGCAGAAGGCACATCCGGTCCTATTGTCCTGCTTCTACGCACCCCTGAACTTGCAAGCAAGTCATGTGGCTATGGATGACTGCCAGACAGCCTAGCCTGAAGCACTCTAAACACTTGAGCCCTGGGTTTCGGTCTTGCAGGCCGCTTGAACTCGAACGCCTTTTGTCTTCAACTAGCATGCCGGCATCTCGGAACAATCGCCACCCAACCCCAGAGGCCAGAACCCTGACGATGTATCGCCAGGCACATACGAAGCCAGAAATCTGACACCCCAACACCAAAAAAACTGTCGAAAATCCAAACCCCAAGAAGAGATCTACGAAAACTCAAAACCAAAACGGCCAAGGGCCCCACGTATCGCCGCTACTGGGACGTAGCAGCGAGGCTGCCAGCAGCCAAAGGAAGCCGCCTGCCGCTTAGAACTGCAGGCTTCGAGGGGGGCGTAATGTAGCGGCCTTGATAATCAGAATAGGGTTTTGGGGGGGTTCCTTTAAAGGGTTCCTGAAAGGGTAGGGGTACTATAAGGGTTTAGGGTTAGGGGCCTTAACAATCAGAAAAGGGTCTTGGGGGGTATATCATACCATAACATAGTAAGGAATCCCTACATTAAGGTGTAGAAGCAAGCCTTCAGTCATGGCTCAGAGTGTTTTATGAGGAACCCTTTTGGATTTACTCTTTAAGTTGCGGTCTTCCCTAAACAGTGACCGTCACTAACCTCCAAAACCCTTTCTGTACTACCTTACTGTAACTCGCAGCCAAATGAATGTGCAAGCCGTCGGTGCTAACCAACTTCGTCACACATGCTACAGCTCACCCTGCGTGAATTCTTATATGAGCCTACATGATATCACTGAACATTATGTTATTCCATGGAACTCTCACGTAAGAACCCTAAACCCTAAACCCTTAAAACCTAAACCCCTAAACCCCTGAACCCCTGAACCCTAAAGTTTCAGGCTTTGCAACCAAGGGAGGGTTTCCTACACCCTAAACCCTAAACC